AATCACAAGTACAATGTTTAAAATCATTACAGCAGGCAATAAAACCTGCCTGAGCTCAGAGGATAATGAATTATTTTCACTACATCTGGATCCAGTGAAGACTCAATGAAATTTAACATTTACTTAAGGAAAGCTCAATCAAGGTTGTGTTGGCACTGCACTAGTAGCAGCAGCTTGCATCTCGAGAAAAATGAATACAGATATCAAATTCAATTTCATTTTAAAACAATGTTCATGTTACAAAAAGTCATGTCAGGGGTGGCTAGGAAAACTTTACAAGAACTGGAACTAAGCATGTCTATTAAGCTCTTTCGTGTCATATAGGACCTTAATTAATTTAAAAGAGGCAACAATGAACTTAGGAAATTAATTTTTCTTGTGACTGGCAAATCATCCTTACAATTCTCATGATTGAACATTTTAAATGTCTTCAACATTCAGGTCCACAAGCAGTCCTACCACATTTCAATCTAATGCCAGGAGAAAAATGTCAAATTAATAAAGAGCGCCAGAAGTTACAAAAATGTTTTGAGTTAAACCATGGCTCTAAAAGATGGTGTATCCATTTATGTATTACGTTGGATTTTTGGTTTTCTTTTGTCTAAGCTCAATCTTTAGACTAGTCATAGGCAAAGAAAGGTACCTTTTAAATTCATTTGTTAGTACTAAAAAAAGCTTTTTTTGCAGTTGCCTTCCGGCTATAGAGGGCAAAGATAAAAACCAGCGGTTTATTTTACTCTCTGATGCACACAGAATGTTTGTTGTGACAAAATTGCAGGATGCCTAAAAAGTTAAGAAAAAAGTAAAGTAAAGAAAGGAGTTAATTTAATTCTAAAAAAGTATCCACAAAAAAATGGGTTACTGACAACCCTAGGGGTAGAGGACTATGCTGTTTTGCCAATGTTGTCGACAAGCCTGCCTGATGCCCTATAGGGTTGGCGTGCCTCTTACGCTTCAGCTTCTCATCCCTCACACAGGTAAATGAGTAATCTCTGTCTTCTAGAGCGTGTAATTAGTTCCACTGACTGATCCACACCCTGCTCCCAGACAGAAGGTGAAAGATATTCTGAAAGCGCTGCCTTGCCTCTGGAGCGGATTCCATTGTTTCCATTCCTCCAGCACACAAGGAAGGTTTTTCTTTTTGATAGTTTAGAGCGGGGGTGTCCAGTCCTGATCCCCAGGGGGGTGGTGTCTCTACAGGTTTTCTCTGTAAATCACCAGCACCTAAAGAGCTGGGGCAAACTGCCCAATCAATAACACGATGGCTCAGGATGTTAAGATCTGAGCAGGAATGAAAACTTAAACTATTGACACACAGGCCCTCCAGGACCAGCACTGGAAACCCCTCGACTTAGAGCTATTCTTTTTCCCCAAAACTTTTCAGTTTCAAAAAGTCAATTCACCTCCTCCCCCCAATCTTGAGAGACAGAGCAGTGTTTACCTGGGCTGTACAGTATATCTGTATTCCTGTTTTTTTTTCCTTCAGTTATTTGTGTCCCGTATTTGGTTTGTGAGTCTCCCTGGCTTTCCAGCTTGACACCTCAACACTGTGCTCAACACTCTCAAGCTAATTTTAAGCTTCTGCTAACAGGAGAACTGCCTTTTCTGTTCATCTAAACTACATTTTACTTTAATGTTCAAACTGCTATGGCTGCGTACTCTTCAGTGCCAGACTCTCACGGTGCACCTCTCCCAGGTCCTCTATTCCTTCCATGGGAATCACATCTTGGAGTTGATGGCCTTCAGCCTCCGATGAGAACCAGTGACTGAGCGCTCTGTGACCCGAGGGGGCGTTGTAGACATGATTGAAACAACACACTGTACTGAACAACTGCTCATCTGTCACGGCTCTGGGGTGCTGGGTCAGGCCTTGCTCGAACAGCCTCTCCCACTGGATTGTCAAAGTGATTTCACTCACCCTCCCCCCCCCCCACACTCCCTGCATGGGGTTAGTGGTCCCCTGCACTCGAGGCTCACGCTCACCACTGGGTGATTTTCTGTCTGACTCCCGTGCTGCAGCCTCTCTTTTTCAGATCGCAGCGCCTGGATGTGAATGGTCCCTTGAGACACTTGGTGGCTGCCCGAGTTTCACAAAGACAGTGACAAAACTCCCTCTGGGTAAGAAATGACATACCATTCCCAGAAACAATGTGAACCTCCTCTATTCCTCAAAGCTTCATACTCTGTTACCTGTTATTTTCCCCTAATGTCCATCACATGGCAGCACTTCAGGTTGTCAGTCACAGGTTTTTAATTTATTGACAAAATGGCCGGAGAAAGCATGAGGTATAACGTAGGTATAAGCCTTCAGAACGTCTTGACTAAGCTTCTAGGACATTTCTACTGCTGCCAGAAGCTAAAATTAAAAGGTGGAATATACAGGTTCTTTCAAAAAACAGTTGCATTTTGTAAATGGCATAAAAAAGCACAGCTGAAGTTGCAGACTGCAAAAAATAAAGCAGCCTCATTCAATTAGACTGCAGTGAGCGGAGAGATAAAATATATAAACTGCTCAGGCAGGCTTGATACGTTGTCACATGGGATGTCAATTCTTCTTCTTTTCATTGTGGACACCTGCTTAGAAGGCTTTGAATGTTTAAGAGCAGCTTCTTATCTTTTACTCATAGATTTATACCAGAATAGGCAGAAGTGAAGACTTTGGCGCCACTAAAGCATTGACAATCTTAAGAGCATTCTTAGAGAAGCAAGAGACCACGGTGCACTGCTGCTACTCAGTTTAAGGAAGTATATTTTCATGCACCTGTAAATATTTAATTGTCAGTGCATTAGAGAATTTGTGCTGTTGCCTATTTAATCGAGATCAATTTGGATGTTCACAATAACCACAAGTTTTGGACGAAGTGGTTCATTAAAGACAGAGTGATATCACATTTGAAACTGCAGATATTAGATATCAACAGATTGCCTCTGGAAGCCAACAAAAACTACAGCAATTACTGCAGATTAAGCTTCTTTGGTCATGAAAACAAGCATATACAGTGTGGATAACCTGAGCTAGATGAGGCGACCTGACTCAGGTACTGAAAATCCACAAAGGCAAGACAAAATCCTAACCCAAGGGACTTCTTCAATATCAATAGTTTGTAGCAGAGGACACAAGTGCAAACCATGGCAAACACACCTTTAAAACTATGAACAGAAGGCAATTCTTACACAAAGGGATTTGGACAAGTTGCTGTTGGAGATGGTGCTTTGGCTTCATTCAAGATACATTATGGCTACATGAGTTCTTTGAATCCATCAGCAGATGACACCAAAACAAGCTAAATAGACAGAATGGCATTCTCTAATTTGCTAACTTTCTTAAGCTCTTATGTATGACCTGTGTATGTTTTGACTGCACAAAACCTCAGAAGATATCTGGAAAAATCTGTAGTATACATCCTAAGAGCTATTAAGATAAGCATTTTCTGTGCAATTTCTGTCTGTACTGTACATAATATAAAGTCACAGCTAAATTAAGAAAATTGAAGCTGGAAAAGCAATTGCAAAGAAAAGTATCAGAAAATCATCAGTATCACAAAAAGTTTTGAAGGCATGTACAGTTCATGTAGAATATGAACAGTTTATACTTAATAGGTTCCTACTGTATCTATCAGTTCAGATGAAGCCCAGTGGGACCTTTTTTTTCGTTTTAAAATTCAGGATCTCCAATTATCTTTTGTTATACCCATCTGATTTGAAATGGCCAATTATGTGTATTTCACATCTCGGCCTTGCAACCTCACAATGGGGAGATTGAGTAATTGCAGACAGACTCCTCTGACCCACCTGCCTCAGAGATATACTGTTCATCTTTTAATCAGTCACACGTGATGCAGCCCCATTGCTGGGGTCCAGCGCCCACTGGAGGAGAGACATGTCCTTCAGGAGGTCCCCAGGTATAGCTGTGTCACTGGGATCCATGAGATTCAGAGCCGAGTAACCCCACCCACCCTACCCTCAGTGGTGCCCAGCTGTGTGAGGAATCCTGGTCACACCTGGCCAGTAACATGCCCTGGGTGATCACACCGCCGTGTGAGCAGAACTTTCACAGACTCTTATTAGTACTAACCTCGGACCACCTCATGATGACTTGAGCAAGCAAGTCCAGGACTATTACGAGACTAGATCTACGCATGGATGTTTGCATTGAAAAGCCTTGAGAGTACAGTACTCTGTCATTTATCATGCCATTTTAGTTCTGAAAATATTTTCTATATACCTCTAGAAATCACGTGATTATAATTGGCTTCTAATCAATACTCTGACTTTACTTTTCCATGCAGTTTGTCTGAAATGACGTTTCATGAAGTTTAAGGGTACCAATGTGTTCGGTGACTGTTCATGATAGAAGCATCACCACCTTTTATAGTGACCACGTCAGGTCTCGGAAGCTAAGCAAGGCTGGGCCTGGGATGAGAGACCGCTAGGGAAAACAAGTGGTTTGGTGGACCACTAGGTGGCAGTCTTCCCTCAGGACAATACCAATGCCTCAGTTATGTGTCCAGGAATACAGTTCTATAACATCCACCATCCTTCTCATCAGACATTAAACAGAGCTGCTTTATCATTGATGATCCAACAGCATTGCTAACAGAGTAGGGGTGTTAACTCCATTGTCTTTGCTAAATTCCACGATAGGTTTACACAGTCTGGTCAACCTAAAAGCTACCCTTAATTGAAATGTTAAAGCTGATCTGAAGTATCCAGTGGGGCTGCTGGCAAACAATGGCTGCCATGCTTATACTAACATCACACCACAACAAGGCCGGGTGCAACATGTGATAAGATGAGCAACATTAATGCACCTTCTGGGGTCAAAATGCATTGCTGGTGCACACAGCAGTGGATGTGGTGTTACATATTTAAGGGAAATGAACTGAGAGTGACAGACACACTTGCTATGCCATGCCACAGAAAGTCGACTCTGTATAAGGGGAGAAGACAGCATGTTGCACCGCTTTAATGCTCAGGGCAGGGGGATGTACAGTACTCACATGGTAGGTGGCGATCCTTTCACGGTCCAGGGGATGGCTGACGTACACTTCGCCCGTGTGCCGGCTGATGCTGAAAACCCCCTTGGGGTCTTGATCGGCTCCTTTTCCGGTCAGCCGGAAGATGTTGGCTTCCTGCGGATCGCTGGATATTACCTGGGGACATTGCAATGCCAATCAGCATGGGATTGAATCCCAATCATTTGCTTTATTTGAATCAGTTCTCAATGTTCAGACATATTTGATTTAAACATTGCAGCCAGCACATTACTCACATGAGACTAGCAAGTTTCGTTTTCGAGGGAGTCCCAGATGTGGCAGCGAGTTAAAAGTGCAAAGACAATCAAACAAATTACAGGCGGTTAGACACATTTAAGCAAGACTTTCAACAATGCATTGTAAAACACAACACTTCGAACTCTAAATGAAAACCGAAATGTCTGACAAAATTGCAGTGATTTTCTTTAGTGTGAAACTATCAAAAACAATTTTGTTTTCGGTAGGAGCATTTCAACAACTGTTTTCAGTATCTTCCTGAATACTCACTTTTTGGAGAATATATGTATTTTTTTGTTGCCAGGACTCACACAAAGGGTACTCAGGCAATTTGTAGTTCTTGGTGGTACTTTCTAATCGCTACCGTAGCTGTATGTCAAGCAGCAACAGAATTTAAAGTACTCTTACACAGTGGATTCAATAGAAGATGCTCTATAAAGAAATGTTTGTTCAGACTGCAAAGTTATATCCGTGAAGGCTGGGCATCTAATGTTCTTATTATTTTACATAACAAAAAATGGAGCCTGTGCAAATCTTCTTCATGGGTCGTCTGAAAGAAAAAAAGCTATCAAAAGTGGAGCTCAATTTTCTTGACAAAAAAGAGTAGTACATAGCTGAAGAGATCCCAAGATTGCTACAGTATATGACGCCACTTTACAGCATCTGGATTAACTGCACTTTGTTCACAAAGCTTTTCAAAGCTTTCATTCTTGAAAGATTCATTCCAGAGATTCATCCTTGCGTTCTTGGGGACTTTCTCAATGAAGCTTTTTCTTCTGGTCACATGAGTGCAAGGAGAACTCCCTCTCCGAGGCCCATTAAAATCCAGAGATGACTTCACAAGGTGTGGTCCTGAAATATGTCAGGTAATAACAGAGAACAAATCCATGACCTCAAAAAAGAGACTGTGGTCATCTGTAGATCGGAGAAATGCTTAAGCAGATTTCGGGACCCTGTACAGCTCCTCCGATCCTGCAGGTACACAGTCCATGAGCTCTCCAAGCTACTGTACAGACACACAATTGCTAATGTGTATATCAAGTTCTTTAATGATGAAAACTGGGAACAACTCTTCTGACTGATGACTGAGCCACTGACCAGTGCTGTTCCCTTAAGAACCACTTTAGTTCCCTTTGGTTCCACTGTACAGTAAATCTGAGTGGGATTGTCTCAACTTAACACAAAGTGTTACTAAAGGTTGTTTATTACACATTGCCATGAACAATTTATATCCAAACACAAATGGGGGGGAAAAAGCTTCAGGAACTTTCCTTTTGAAGTTCAACTCTTCCCAATAATGTATTTCATGATTCTTTCTCATCATTAAAACAAGCTTCCAGTCCTTTCATTATAAAATAAATTTCAGAAGAGGACTCTGCTCTGTTGTCGGCTGTGTAGAATTAAAGTGAGTCTGACAGGTATGCTTAGGAAGGATCTTTCAGTATCTTCCGCGGTTCCGCAAAGCCTTCATGTTCCAATTCAGCTCTGGTGCTTGTAAGACAGTGTGAATAAACAATGCTGTCCTATGGTGCCACCTTTCAAATTCTGCCAATCACAGCTAAAATTCTTAAAACATCTGTTCTGTTCTATTGTTTAAAAGAGGCTACCCATTGCTATTGCAATTATCAAGGAAAGAGTTTCAGAAATGCAGGTGACTAAACATTCATGGGTTTACTAAAGTAGACCACCAGACCACTAAGGGTGCTTTCACACCCAGTTCATTTGGAAAAGGATCACTTATATCAGAGGCTGTTGACGCCCAAGAAGAGCTCATTTTGGCAGAGGATTTGGATCAGAGTGCACACCAAATAAATGAGCTAGGATTCATTTCCAATGCGGCCTCGACTTCACTCAAGGGGGACCATGCCACAGTCCCCCTCAAAGTCATGCGGTGTGAAAGAAATCCCACTAGAGTTTACAAGCAAAAAGAAACTGAACCAGCTGGCAGATGTCCAGCTCTACCTAATTTGCATCTCATCTTGCATTTTTCTGCATAAAACAGTACATACTGTACCCTGTCCATCAATCTCCTTCATTAGCTGAAAAATAACGTGAAGATGCAAAAACAAACCCAACAAATCCAGTCTGTTCAGGGGTTTAGGATAACATATTTCCCTTAATTAGCGCGCAGAAATATTTGTTCTCTGTGCAAAAGGGAGCAACAGTAACGGGAAATAAAAACTAATTTGAAACCTATTTATGCGTGAAGTTGTGGATAAACATCTTGCACTTTCACTGCCTTCACGAAGGCTAGATTGTGTGTCATTACAAAAGAGTCAGAACAGAGATAAAAAGAAAGGTAAAACGGATTGATAGGGACTGTGAACAAGTTAATAATGCTGCTATTAGGCAACAGACATTTCAAGAATGAGGTGTTTAATCATTCATTGCACTGGCACTGGAAACAACCCTCTGTGAATGATCTGGCAAAGGTGTGTTGGCTTTCCTAATGTATGAAACTGTTCTATATACAGCAGGATGTAAAAAAGGCTGCTTTACAAACAGATGATGGCTAACAAACCAAAGACTAAACATTTAATAATACAGTACAGCAGGGCAGGCTGAAATGGACAGAAATTCATGGAAAAATGTCAACTGTGTTGAAAAACGTCTTGGGCTTAAAAATCTACATTCTGCATTTACATTTATAATCTCCATAGGATTTAAGATTACTTTTTATATTTGTACTTATTACTACAGTACGCCCAGAAAATGTCAGTAATATTTTAACAGATTAGTGATGTGGATGATAAAAAAAACACAACTAACAAAAAAGTGGGAATGGCCTTGAAACCCAGCTGGAATTCGAACTGTTCTTATTTCTGGCGTGAGAATAAGCAGCAGAATTTGTTGTTCATTTTCAAAAGGTCTCTGAATCGTCACCACAGCAGACAACGTAATTAAAGGCCCCTAAGAAATCACAATTAAGATACGTAGCTAGGTGGAGCTGCAATGCTCATACTGCACACAGACTTCTATTGAGCAAGAAGATGATAGCAGAGGAAAAAGTAGTAAGAAAAGGAGGAAGAGAAGTTAAGAGGGGTGAAGGACTTTGTTTTGACTGCTGACTCAAACCTCTAACATCTAAAAAATCGAAATGCAAATGTCAGACAAGAAGTAGGTAAACAACCAGACACAAGTAAGCAACAAAACAAAAGAAGGAAGAACAAACATAAAAACACAAAACAGGCCCCAGGAAGTGCTGTGTGTTTATCTCTATTTGACAATCTAGTAACAGTTGTCAAATAATTCATGTAGGGAGCTGTGTCAGCATGCATAGGCTGCAAAGGAACAAGTAAAGGTTTATGCACTGCTGAAGACAGAACACATGAAACGCAACGTTTCGGCTTCATTTTACCCAACACCGGAAGAAGGCTCCACAGCCGAAATGTGTTTCTTTCCTTTTCTTTTCAGCATGGAGTAAACAGTTTTCAGATGCTTGAGTTTCTTTATGCAATGTCAAAATGAAGAACCCAGGGAGGATACTTGAAATCTCATTAAGAAAACAATTAAAAGCATGAAGAAGACTGCCTAAGCTTCAAAAGAAAGAATGATTTATTATGTCGTGTAAGTTAGATACAGGTAACGTTCTAGCAGCATGAAAAGCTGACTTGCATCCATCCATTTTATACCCACTGTGTCCAGTTCAGGGTCGCCAGGGTACCAGAGCCTATCCTGGCAAGCAACGGTCACAAAGCAGGGTACACCCTGGACAGGACGCCAGTCCGTCACAGAGCAGACACAGACAAACTCAGACACTCACACACTCGCACCAGGGCCAGTTTTCCCAGAAACCAATGAATCTGCCAGCAAAGTTTTTAACTATGGGAGGAAACCCATGCAAATACTTGGAGAACATACAAACTCAGGAATTGAACCAAGGATCCCAGTGCTGTGAGACTGAAATGCTAACCATTGCACCACTCTGCCATCCCCAAAACAAACATACAGTAGTACTACCAATATTTTTAGCAATACAATATGTTTACTATATGTAAACATTAATCTCAATCACAAATATTATGGGACCAATCAAGAACACAGGGCAACAGCAAATCCATCAGCTATAATCTGAGATTTGTTTTCTTTTTGTTTCATTTTTACCCATGTGAAAAAAGAAATCATCAATGAATGGAACTGAGAGGAAGCAACAGTAACAAAGCCTGTCAGGTGCTACAGAAACAGGGAGGAATCAGTCTCTCACCACCACAGGGCAGAAATATCTACTTTTTGCCACATTATTTTGAACTACAGCAGCCTTTCTAGGGGGGTCAAACTGACAAACTAAACCAACACCATCCTCATCAACCCAAAGGGTCAAATTTTAATTGACAAATGTACACAGGCTGCAAAGGGCTTTAGTGTTTACTTGAAAGTGCATAATAAATGGACGATCATGCGCAAAACCAAACTCCTCTTAATAACAGCTGAGCACATCCTTTTCAAGCTTCTAAATATTCTATTTGTACTTCTCCTGCGCCCTGTTTGAAGTCGTGCGCAGAATATCCAGACGTCCCTGGGCAGCTGAGGCGGAAACTCATTTCAGGTTGCTGTTCCATGTGAAATCCGATAAAAGCGATAAAACGTTTTTTCAGGACAGTTTTTGTTACTTGTGGGGCAAAACGTGACCTTAAGAATTTTACATTCTTAGGAGATAAAGATCTTGGCAAGTAGGGCAAAATTCTCTAATTAGATCAATCTGGTAGTAAACACAAAAAAAATCAAGAAAAGGATGGAGTGTTATTGTCATTACTATTGCTACATAATAA